AAGAAGGATATTATGGCACTAGAAAAAGTGCAGAGGCGGGCTACAAAATTAATACAAGGAATGGAACATATCGGCTATGAAGAAAGGTTAACAAATTTAAACCTATTTAGTTTAGAAAAACGTCGCCTGAGAGGGGATATGATAACATTATACAAATATATTCGGGGCCAATACAAACCATTGTGTGGAAATCTATTCACAAACCGGACTTTACATAGGACACGAGGCCATGCGTTTAGACTGGAAGAAAGAAGATTTCGCCTAAGGCAAAGGAAAGGTTTTTTTACTGTAAGAACAATCAGGATGTGGAATTCTCTGCCTGAGGAAGTGGTTTTATCAGAGTCCATACAGATGTTCAAACGGCTACTAGATGCATACTTGCAAGAACAGAATATTCAAGGATATAATCTTTCAATGTAGGGTAATAACTGCTTGATCCAAGGATAAATCTGACTGCCATTCTGGGGTCAAGAAGGAATTTTTTTCCTAGCTTGTTGCAAAATTGTGCTTCAAACTGGGTTTTTTTGCCTTCTTTTGGATCAACAGCAAAAAACAAATGTGAGGAAGGCTGAACTTGATGGACGCAAGTCTCTTTTCAGCTATGTAACTATGTAACTGTCAGTCTCCGTCGGTCTGGTACTCCATGCAAGATCTCACTTTGTGAAGTTTCATGAGAATGGTGCAGAATCAGCCCAGAACTACACGGGAGGATCTTGTTAATGATCTCAAGGCAGCTGGGACCATAGTCACCAAGAAAATAATTAGTAACACACTACGCCATGAAGGACTGAAATCCTGCAGCGCCTGCAAGGTACCCCTGCACAAGAAAGCACATGTACAGCGCCGTCTGAAGTTTACCAATGAACATCTGAATGATTCAGAGGAGAACTGGGTGAAAGTGTTGTGTTCAGATGAGACCAAAATTAAGCTCTTTTGCACCAACTCAACTCACCGTGTTTGGAGGAGGAGGAATGCTGCCTACGACCCCAAGAACACAGGACAACTGCACAGTATCAAATTGACGATTGACGGGGCCCAGTAACGTCAAATATTGGGTGAAAACCTCCTTCCCTCAGCCAGGGCATTAGAAATTGGTTGTGGATGGGTATTCAAGCATAACAATGACCCAAACCACACAGCCAAGGCAACAAAGGAGTTGCTCAAGAAGAAGCACATCAAGGACACTCAACGACCAAGTCCCGCTGCCTCCTTTCGTGCAAACAAGATGGCCAATGTTGTCTCTGCCCCGTGGCGTTTGGCCATACGAACCCCGGCCACTCATAGAGAGCGCTTAATTGAAGGTTTTCTTTATTAATAATGAGCCAGAAGGGTGGTCAGTCGTTCGGTAGTTTGAAAACTACCGAACAAATAAACGAAATGTGAAAAATATCCGAAATATTATGCGAACAAGGTTAGAGAAAGCTGGTTTTCTCACACAAATCAATTTATAACTTTTTTGACAAGCATTTTTCTGGATTTTTTGTTTTGCTATTCTGTCTCTCACTGTTAAAATACACCTAACCTTAACATTATAGACTAATCATTTCTTTGTCAGTGGGCAAACGTTTAAAATCATCAGGGGATCAAATACTTTTTTTTCCTCACTGTACATACGCTCATACACAAGCCTCTCCACGCCAATCTAAACCCCAAATACCGGGATTACTTACCTAAGCATCTATACTCCACTGTATACTATACATCTCTTAGTTTCTGTTGTCTGACAAGCACGCATATTACTAATTTTCACTCAAGGGACCCATGACACCCTACACACTCTGTACTTACAGCACATCTAATGTCTCATGGGACCATACTTGGTGCTTACTTGTATATTTTAAAAATTGTGCTTTGTATTAGCCATATAAGCATTACACTCATGTACAACTGGAGCATTATAGCTATGAAAAAAAGTTTATAAACTGAAATCTCTAGTTTGGAAAAAGGGGGATATGAGAGCATTATACAAATATATTCGGGGCCAATGCAAACTATTGTCTGGAAATCTATTTATAAACAGGACTGTACATAGGACATCATGTATTTAGAGCGGAAAAAGGGAGATTTAGTCTAAGGCAAAGGAAAGGGTTTTTAACAGTAAGAGTAATAAGAATGTGAAATTCTCTGCCTAAAAAGTTGGTTTTATCAGAGACTGTACAAGTGTTTAAACAGCAATTGGTTAAATACTTGCAAAAACACATATACTTTTAAAATAGTGGGGTAATAACTTCTTGATCTAAGGCGATAATTGATTAGTATTCTGGGGTCAAGAAGATTTTTTTTCCTAGTTTGTTGCAAAATTGGAAGCATGTCAGACTTGCTTTTTGCTTTCTTTTGGATCAGCAGCAATAACATAAGTGAAAAAGACTGAACTTGAAAGCATGTCTCATTTCAGCTATAAAACTATGTAACCATGGCAGTACTAAAGACTCTAAGCACTAGAAAAATCACTACAAAGAGCTGCATTATTTTACATTGAATACATCATTTATCTCTACGGTAATGCCTGTGGGTGTGTGACAGGTTCACATTAAAGGAACACTCGAAGCACTTCTGGCATCGTAAACACAGTTTCGTAAGCTCACTCTCAGAGTTATATAGCTGTTAGTACAATTATAATACTTGGAGAAAAATAGGTCAATCATTTCTTCGGAATAGACTTCTGTGTCAAAGTTCTAACTGACAGAAGAAACAAGAAGAAAAACAGGTAGACAAGAGGTAGGTATGACAATAGTGTAACACCCATAAAGCGGTAGGAATAGGGACAATAGTGCTGGATAGTAGGTGTGATTTAGATACCAAAGAAAACTTTGATTATTTGTCTATCTACTCCTTCTAAATTGATTAATTAATGCGTGCACGCATTTCCTAGAAGTAATTCACATCGGAGACAAAGTTTCTGATCAGTGAAAAACCTGAGGAATGTTTTATTCCCTGGAGTGGGAGCCCCTTTTAAAACAGAAATACGTCATATACAGAGTCATAGTTAACATACAGTATTCATTCAACAATTGGTTAACAGTCTAAGGGGTCTTGTCTAAACCCCCCCTACAGGATGTAGTGTCGTCATTACAGACTTCTCCCACCCACATTCCAGCCCCATCTTGGTTACACGATGGGGGGGGGAAGTGAGTAGTAGTTACTTTAACAGTGATTCTCTATTTTGTTAGCTGTTACTTTGCACAAAGGAAGTGGGGGAGGAGTTTAATAAAGGAAGATGTTCTTTTAACAGAGGAATTTTGTTACATGAGGCTTGCTCGATGGGAAGGGGGGGGTTAGCAGGATGGGAGGAATTTGCAGAGAAAATAGCAACTGAACACATTGTAGGGGGGAAGGGAATATTTACTCTAGCAGCCAGTTTTACCATAGTGAACACAGAATAAATAGACATTAGTAAACAGCCATTTTATTTTAATTCTTCTGTCCATAACAGTCCCCCCTTAAAATGGCTATTTTACTAAAAACTACTATCTCTCATTCTAATACCGTCCCTATAGAAAAATAACAAAAGGCTATCTTGCACATCTGTCTGAACAGGCCTCGAACACTTCACTGCGCCGGTAACTCGTAGCAGCTTGTCCACTACTTCTTCCCGCGACAGACTTCTGCCCGTAGAGACAGACGCTATCCCTGAATGTCCTTAAGAGGAAGTAGCTGTTGATTTAATGCAGTGGGACTGTAAGAGTGTATGTGGTGTATCACTGTCTATGTCGTCAGTCTCCTGGTGAAGGAAGGTTGGGGTGGTCTGGTCGATTGTCTGATCAACTGTCTTTTGTAGGCATTTCTTAAGACAGGGTAACACACAACAAACAAGAAGAGCGAGGATGATTATCATTATTAAAATGGCAACACCTATTTGGGCCAGAGCACCTTGCCATCCAGTCATCCATCCAAACCATCTTTCCCATGGATCTGTGGCCCCAGAATTTCGTTTCAGCTCGTTGGACAAACTCTTTAACTTTTCTATTGCCAACGTTACCTTACCATTAGGGCCTGTATTATCTGGAATATAGGTACAGCATGTTATGGTGTCTGGGAGTATTTTACATACTCTCCCTTTTCCTGCCAAAATCATCTCTAAGCTTATTCTATTCTGGAAGGTCATCTGAGAGGTAGCTTGTAACCGCCCTATCCCACCATATATCCCATAACAAGTATAGTTCCCTGGATATATAGTAATGCCTTCGTCTGGGTTAATATTTTTAGTAATGATTGGGTATTAAGTTTCCATGACTCGCATGCTGACCGCTTAGGTTTAAATACAGTGTAGAGACTTAAAACGCATACTTCATATCCGGAGGGAGGTTCAGGGATACAGTACCTGGGTGAGGCCTCGCTCCTCCGCAGACATAGCAGTTAGACTTGTTATGTTTAGTAGCATTGTATTTCATCCATTCAAGTCACAAGTTAGTGTCAGAGAAACCTGTCTCTACAGCCCTAGTATCCTCAAATATGGGATGACTACCATGTCTTTTAAAGTCCTAATGTGTGGTTTGAGGGGATTAACAGTCATGTGCGTGGCACCTACCCATTCAGGTGAGTCATACATGTCCTGTAAGAAAAAGGTCTCCTGTTTATTGTATAAACCTCTTCCCTTCCAATTCAGATTTTATTAGCCGTAATGCTTGGGAGAATAGATTCAAACTTAGTTTCTTACCTTAAAATCATTTGGTACCCCCCTTGACACCCCTATGGCATATATATATATATATATATATATATATATATATATATATGTGTGTGGGTAAAACCACCCTTTATAGGGGTACTCCTTTTTGTCCTGAAGCATGAATGAGGTGTGTCAAGAGTACCTTGGGGATTGTCATGTGTTATGTGTATGGACATAATAACCTTGTCTAGGGCACATTTACTTATTCTTAATCTTAGAAATCTTGTCTCATGCTACCCTAGTACTGGCAGATTCAGATCATTTAAACATTCAATATTAATATCACCACAAACTCAAGATAAGCAGATGATCCTGAAGAAGCTTTGACTGTGCGTAGGCACCTCAGACGTGAGGGCTGCAGGGTAGGAAGTATGTCTGTTTCTCTTTAGTTTCACGAGGTCCCCTTTTGGGGTATTCGGCTTTCCATCGATGGCAGGTGGTCAGGCATTATTATGGCCATCAAAACACCCACTTGTTGATATTTATTTATTTATTTTCAACAAGTATCTTTGTTCTCTAAGAATGGAGTTTCAAAAAGGGTTGTCAGGATCAACAAATGCTACTTCACATGATGCAGAGGCAGGCTTGATTCTGGAATGATGAATCCACGGGGTGATCTCTATAACTTTCACAGTGCACTACTCAGCATGTGGTCTTGGTCATCACTTTGGTGGCTGGATAGGCCTCTGGCCATCCTGAAAACATGTCTGCTATAATTAGTGCATATTTGAACCAGCCACTCTTTGGCATTCTGGATGTAGTCAACTTGGACTCTCTGGAATGGGTAGTGTGGCTTCGCCAGATGTTTGGGGAAAACGTTCTCTAATTTTCCGGGATTGCACTTGGCACAGATAGCACAAGACTTACAGTAGATTTTAGTCAGAGTGGTAATTCCTGGTGCTTCGAAATATTTAGCAATTAAAGAGTTCATGAGGGTCTTAGACAAATGCGCTGCTCCGTGGGCCCACTGAACCACAGCCGGATACATACATTTAGGTAGACAAAATTTGAGATTGCTAGTATATACTCCATCCTGTAAGGTCGCTCCTTTCTGTTTCCAGCTTTGCTTTTCTTCAGGACTTACAGCTGCTTGCTGTTCTTTCAAAAACTTGAGGTCCGTAGGTAAGGTTTGCATGGGAAAAATAGGAATTTCCTCACCGGACACTCTTCTGTCCACTTCCCTTAGTGCGCTTACAACTTCTTGAACAACTTGGTCAGCCAGAGAGTTGCCACATGCTTCCTCTGAGTTCAGTCTTCCTTCAGAGATCTTTGCATGCTGTGATGGGAGCCTATAGCTCAGTTTCTTGTGCAGACATTGTTGAGGTGAGATACTTGGTCCACTGTAGTGACAGCAAATCCGGAACAGATCATGAGGAAAAGGCTAAAAAAAATAATAGTCAGTGTCTTATCATTCCCCCCCCCCTGGCCAGGTAAATAGAGTATCATCCCTGCAGGGTGACACTATCCTGCACAGAATTCGTCCATCACAAAGAGAGGTGTGATATTGCAGGGAAAGTCTCAGGGAACCAGGGCACTATTCGACACCAGAGCCTTAACCTGTTAGACAATAGTAAGAGCTTGGACAGGCTTCGGGGCCTGTATAATTCAGGTAAAGGTATTTGGGGAACTAGCTAGGACCCTTGCCTCTTTGTCAGGTTTCACTGTGTGGAACAAAAGAAATAATAAGGTGATAGGGGCCTGCAAGTGGGGGAAGGACATCTGCACCTAGCAGATTAATTGGACAGGTGGAGGCAACCACAAAGCAAGGCTTAGTTAACAGGCTACTCCAAGGAGAGCCATCTACACTTATGCAGGAGACAACAATGTTAGACAGGAATGAGGAGTCAGGCAGGCCGTGCTTGCTACAAATAGATGTCATGTGGCCTGCTATACAAGGCTGCATGTAGCCGTTGGGCTGCATGTAGCCGTTATTATGTACTAAAACCTAAGTTAAAAGAAAATTTGGGACAACCTGAAGTGATACTTCTCCACAGATGCTAACTCATCGTTGATGACATTGTTAATACAGGTAGCCTGATTAGCCAATTTATCTTAGGCTTAAACAAGTCACGCCATGTAGTGGAATGGGTCATAAGGATTCGGGCAATTTTACAGTAAAAGGACATAGTAAGGATGGACGTGATGTTACTTTAGGAGTAGGCGTGGCTGTGGACAGGGGGAAATCAGCCTTATCCATTCCCATATATTATTCCTTTTGTCTTCAGTATATCCAAACCATGTGTATGTCCAGGCGTTGCAATATACAGTAATCCATTATCAGTCATGATATTAAAATCTCATTCTCATGAATTAAATCAAAGATTTTAAATCAACCTCAGAAGCAACAAAGAATAAATCTATTGTTTTTTCCTTCTGTAAAATGATTGGAGTTACTGTATAATAGCATACAACCAATATAACATACATAAAAACAATGAAAAAACAAACAAAAACAATTTAAAAAAAACAGTACAGACTAACAAGTTAGTAAACAAACAAACATATCTCTATTCTTGTGCTGGTTTTAACTCTAGAATCAAATATCTGCAAGATCTTAAATAATGTGCACCAAACACAAATAACTTTAGTTATATTCTGCCGTTGAGGCAATTGGGAGTGGCTCAGGCATCTGTATTGCTCTTTCACACTGAGTTCTAGGGGGGAAAAGGAGGGGGTCAAATCTGCACTTCTCTCCCTGCGTCTAACAAGTCAGTGTAACCCCTTCATGTCTGGATACCTCTTTACTTTATCTAAGAATAAAGCAACTTCCTTCAAAGTACTTTTTTCTCTATCAATTACAATTGCAGTTGAATCTAGATCTTGACATTTTTTCACAAATTAATTAATTAACTGATCCTCAGGAAAATTACCAACAAGTCTATATGCATTTTCAAATTAAGTTTTACAGCTCTGTTACTTTGTTACACTGTTCATTTAAATCTGATTTGGCTTCTGTTAACATATTCAAATCTATTTCGTTATCTGCTGATTCTAAAGTTTCTTGACCTGCATCTCGTTTACAAATCAATGCATTGTAAGTACAGACTAGTTTCATAACATTTCTGATCTTTTTTTTTTTTTTTTTTTATTAACAAACAATTTCTTGGCAATTTCACTATTGGCAATTTCACATTGTGTGTATAAAGATTGCCACAATACAGCATCTGAATAGCTGCAATTACATGCAAACTGCAATGTACTTTTCTCTGCATTATCATTTATGAATTCCACAATTCATTTGTTCCAACAAAATCTAACTTTCCTTATTCCAACATGCCAATAACCTCTTACTTAACAACATATACAAGATTACACAAAGTTCCTAACTAGGTTATTCGTCCAGCAAATATACCTTGTTTCCCTCACATTCCTCACTGAGTTTACAAGCATTTCACCCATTCACCCCACCCCCCTGTAGCCAATACTCATAGCAGTCAGAGCAAGAGAAAGCAACAAAGAAGGAGGGGGGAGGAGGGAGGAAGACTTGCAAGCACAAAGTTTTTTAACCATGTGATTGCCTAAGCACAGCTCTCCTTAGGACAAAAGATAGAATAGGAGAGTAACGATACAGATTGTATAGATTACAATTAACATATATGGTACCCAACAAGACATACACAGACAAAAGCACAAAATACAAAGTCCTTAAAATAAATGCCGGCTTATAATAACTCAAATCACACACACAGAAACACTCAAGCACATAAACCGCTCCTTTACCGAAGCTTAGCTATTTAAACTCTTGACCGAGTCTTAATAAAACAAAGGAACCGCCAGGTTTTTTACCAAACGAGGCCAAAACATCACTCACTAGCTTCTTTACCAAAGCTTAGCTAAAATAATTTTTTTTTTTTTATTATATTTATTTATTTTTAAACTCTTGACCGAGTCTCGCAATAACTTCTTTACCGAAGCTTAACTAAAATAAATATAGAGCCAGGGGTTTTCCACCAAACCCGAACTTGGCTAAACCTGCAAGTGCTTAACCACACTTGGCAGCATTATATAACAGTATTAAGCAAGTAGTAAAACAGATTCTCAAACAGACACTTTCACACATAAAACTCACACTCAGGACTCAGGCTGTAGATAGACAAGTGACAGGTTCTATATAAAAGGGGACATTCAGGCATATATATATTACCTGTCTGAAGACGTTAAACACCGGAAGCCGAATGTGAAGGCACGGAGAACAAGAGAAATCCAAAGAAAGGAAAATATAGGTAAGTAACTCATTTACCATATGCAGAGGTGATCAGGCTCCGTTTCCAATCTCTGGGAATCCTTTGTCTCCTGGTCCTGAGATTTTACGGCTTCCTTATTAACGTAACCCTCACATCCCGGACGAGCCCCCAAATTGTTTTGGATCAAAGAAAACTTTGATTATTTGTCTATCTACTCCTTCCAAATTGATTAATTAATGCGTGCACGCTTTCCCTAGAAGTAATTCACACCGGAGACAAAGTTTCTGATCAGTGAAAAACCTGAGGAATGCTTTATTCCCCGGAGTGGGAGCCCCTTTTAAAACAGAAATACGTCATATACAGAGTCATAGTTAACATACAGTATTCATTCAACAATTGGTTAACAGTCTAAGGGGTCTTGTCTAAACCCCCCCCTACAGGATGTAGTGTCGTCATTACAGACTTCTCCCACCCACATTCCAGCCCCATCTTGGTTACACGATGGGTGGGGGAAGTGAGTAGTAGTTACTTTAACAGTGATTCTCTATTTTGTTAGCTGTTACTTTGCATAAAGGAAGTGGGGGAGGAGTTTAATAAAGAAAGATGTTCTTTTAACAGAGGAATTTTGTTACATGAGGCTTGCTCGATGGGAAGGGGGGAGTCTAGCAGTATGGGAGGAATTTGCAGAGAAAATAGCAACTGAACACATTGTAGGGAGTAAGGGAATATTTACTCTAGCAGCCAGTTTTAACATAGTGAACACAGAATAAATAGACATTAGTAAATAGCCATTTTATTTTAATTCTTCTGTCCATAACAGGTGTAATGGACAGCTACAATAACCCAGTACTCAGAGTATAACCTCTGTAATAAAACATGTAACTGAGCCTTAGAGTGGCTGGACTTCATGTAAAATAGCTAAACAGAATAGTCAGGACTAGCCAGAGTCAAGGGAAACCATAAATCAGATAGACGATAAGACAAAGCCAGGTCAGGGATAACAGAATACAGAATGGTCAAGAGGATAGCTGGATCATTAACAGTAATTTAAAATAGTTTAAACTCACTATGGGTCAAGGAGAAACCACAGATATTGTTCGTTTTTAAACTAACAATATGAAGCCCTCTAGATTCCCAGTCTAATGTTTGGTTTTGATGTATATAGGTGGAGGACCAAATTAAGTAGTCCAAGATAAAGCAGTAACCTGGCACTCCTGATGATCACGGTAACATTGTCCGGGTGAAACGTACGTTGGATGCACAAGTAGACTCACACTGGAATTAGGGAGTTTATTTATTTGATTTATCAGACCCTAATAATTAGGGCATAGCTAGAAAGCGGCTAAGAATAGAGATGTTGTTAGGGAACAGCCTAGCCACCGGTCCTGATCAGGATTTTGACTAATAGATTTAGTTACCATGTGGGCTACTGCTTTGTTTTGAACTACTTAGTTTGGTCTTCCACCTATATACATCCATACCAAACATTAAACTGGGAATCTAAAGGGCTTCAAAATTGTTTACCGTTTAACAGTTTAAGGACAAGTAGGACTTATCTGGTTTTGTGCTGTCTGTTGCATACTAAATGGGACTGGAGCTGATTTTTTTTGTGGTGGGGGGACCAATGTTGCCACAAAATTCTAAGTTAATTTTGAATATATGTCTTTATTGCAATTATTGTACTAAATATAAAAGAATCATTATTGTTTATATTTGGGGGAACAGTGACACCTAGTGGGGTACATTTAATATTACTGACATTGCCCAGTTTTAAATAATTAACCTAAACAGTGACCCCTAATTCATTTTAATTTGAATAAATTAAAGGTGATGTTTTAATTACACCACATTTTCTACAGTTTCTTGATGTGTTGTATGCTTTCCCATCAGTACAGACCCTGAACATTCAAACACTTTCCAAGCCATCAATTGCCATCATTCCACCTTATCTATCAATGTGACATTAAGTCACTCACCAACTTCCTAAATATTGTAGCATTCAACAACAACAGAGCAATCTGGAAAAAGGCCCCTTGAGAAAGGAGGACTAATAGTGCTAAAAAATATATAAAAAAGAGAGGCAGCGCTGATTAACTAACAGGCATCAACCTTAAAAAGGGAAACCCTCCAAACCCTTTTAAAACAAGACAGGTAAAACAACAGAAAAAAGGCTGCGCCACAGAGAAGATAAAATAAGTTCAATAAGTAAAAAGTCCATGTTAAGACACCTCCGGTGTCTTTAAGAGAAACCGCCGTTTAGTTCACCTTCCCCTTTCGCAATATCAGTAATCCATTCGCATAAACTGTAATCCACGAACCATAACCAGGGGAAGCGTCAATCTCCCGACCGGGATCCGTGAAGGGCTCCAAACTCCCGAACGGAAATCCACGAACTGCTGCTAGCCGCCGAACAACGATATCCACCAAGCGCTTTCGGTTCCAATCAGCAGTCTCTAAACGCAAAGAAGAAATCCCCCCAATAACGAGACAGAAGCTCCGCATTGAGGGTCAAACAGGATCTGGCTTTACTGTGGGCTACCTGCCCATATTTATGCAGGTCTCCCACTTGGTGGACACTCCCCTAGGGGACCAAATGGGAGACTGAAATGACAGATAGACAGGGGGACATTTCAGACATACAGTTACAGGTTTTTCCCACAATGCAATATGGCCTCCTCCCCTCTGCCCTGGAGATAATTGAGAAGTAATTCAATTATCTCCAGGACAAAGACAAATCGCCATCTTAGATATAAAACCAGAAAATACATAAAAATACATAACTTGAAAGTAACCGAACACTTCTTATTCACATCACATATCCCCAGATAGCCTGGCTCTGAGTGCATATTATTGGGGAATAGCGCTCAGATCCCACACACATAGTTCAATCGCCATGGAGTCAAAGTTCTTACAGTCTTTCGGTATGCGATTGACTCCATGGGAGGACTATCTGGGTTAAGTCCTTACGTGTGTTTCAAAACTCCCAAACGGCCGGTGTTCGTACGTTTTCCTGGAGGCAGCCAGGCATCCCGTTGATTCAGCGGTGTTCGGCAGAAAAAGTGTCAGTTTTTAGTTCCATGAAAATAGAGCCGAACACCCCTGGGCTTTCATGTGTTTTAAAATGGCCGCTGCTTCGTGGTCGACATACGAACGACGGCCACCCTGAATTCGGTTTAATTGAGAAGTGTCTGCGGTTAACCACAACGTTCTAATTGGGATCAATAGGTTAACCAGCAGCACACTTCTCTCCTGGGTGGCCATCCGTTCGGTAGCTTTGTTCGGTGAAAAATAGTCATTAGTATGGCTGGGCTATAGGAAACAGCCATTTACATGAAAGTGCAGGAAACAGACGAATCCACCACAATAGTCAGACGGATGGTTCTGTCACACGGCTCCCTCCTTGTGGGACACTACGGCAGACCCGGCTTGACCCTTTGGGGGGTCAACTTTGGGATGACCGGACTAGGAGGTGGTGGAGACGTCAGTTTGCCGGGATAACCCATCTGCGTTCCTGTTCAGCTTACCGGGTCTGTAGCGGATAGTAAAATTGTAGGGCTGCAATGCCAAGCTCCATCTCAGTAGTCTCCCATTGTCTCCTGAGACCCGGTTAAGCCAGACGAGTGGGTTATGATCAGTCACCAGGGAAAACTCTTGCCCGTATAAGTAGGGACTTACCTTGCCCAGACCAAGGCCAAACACTCCTTTTCCACTGCCGCATAACTCACTTCTCTGGGTAACAACTTTTGGCTGAGATATGCGACAGGGTGCTCTCCTCCATCTTCCCCAACTTGGCTCAGCACAGCCCCCAGTCCATACATGGAAGCATCTGTGTGAACGAGAAAGCGTTTGTTAGGGACTGGGGCAGCCAAGACAGGGGCATTCACAAGAGCCTGCTTCAGTGCCTGGAACGCAGCTTCACAAGCTGGAGACCACAGGACCTGCTTAGGCAAGTTCTTCTTTGTCAGGTCTGTCAGGTGCTTAGCAATAGTGCTGTAATAGGGGACAAAATGTCAGTAGTACCCTGCCGTCCCCAAGAAGGCCAATACCTGGGTCTTAGTGGTAGGTGTGGGCCAGTTAGCTACTGCCTCTACCTTGGCTGGCTCTGGTCTCTGGCTTCCACATCCCACTCTGTGACCCAGGTACTGTACTTCAGCCATACCTAGATGGCACTTCTCTGGCTTCAATGTCAGGCCAACGGCCCGAATCTTATCCAGTACCACCCCCACATGTACCAGGTGTTCCTCCCAGGACCCACTGTAGATTGCAATGCCGTCCAAGTATGCACAGGCAAATTCTTGGAAGCCATCCAGGAGTCTATCCACCATCCATTGGAAGGTAGCCGGGGCATTTTTCATCCCAAAAGGCATGACCTTAAATTGGTACAGGCCAAATGGGGTGACAAATGCCGACTTGGGGATAGCATCCTCGGCCAGGGGAATCTGCC